ATTGTAAAACCATTCTTCCCAGGAAATGCACTTGTAATATTCTTACCAAACAACATCTGCCTTCTCTAAAATTCAAGGATGATGCTGTATTCATGACATATCTACTACATTTGCTTGAGCAAGTCCAAAAGAGAAAGTCATGGTATTCCAACTTGAGTGGCTGCACACACATTGCTACAGCATCTGTGTTTCTGATAAACTTAAATACACTTGGGTCTATGCTCCAGGGATCCACATTTTTCATTTTAGATAGAATTCTTTTCTGAAACCGTTTTGTAAGAACCAATTTCCCCACTTGTCAGTCTATTTTCTGAAGGCACTGAGCCTTTTAGATCCATGTTATGCTCTTTAGAAGCAATTGTGTCCTTCCACAGTCACGCTACTCTGCAATAGAACACCAGAACTTCTTTCTCTTATCTAACTGCAAGTTAGATAAGATCAACCTTTTATGCCCCCAACCAAGTGTTTTTCTCAGCCTCTGGTAACCATTATTCTACTCTCAATTCCTATGAGATGAACTTTTTAAGATTCCACATATGAGTGGAAAGAGTACCTATTTTTCTGCACCTGGACTACTTCATTTAGCATAATGACTTCCAGTTTCATTCATGTTCTTACAAATTGCAGGACTGCATTGTCTTTTGTAGCTTGATAGTATTTTAACATATAATATTTTATTTATTCATTTATCTGTTGATGGACATTTAGTTTGTTTCTATTTCTTGATTTATATAAATAGTGCTGCAGTAAATATGTGAATTCGGATGTGTCTTTGGTATAGCAATTTCATTGTTTTAGAAATATGTCTAGTAATAGTATTGTTGGATCATATGATAGTTCTATTTTAACTTTTTTGAGGACACTTTATACTGTTTTCTGTAACTGTTGTACAAATTTACATTCCCACCAACAGAATACAAGAGTTCTCTTTTCTCTATATCCCCATCAGCACTCATTTTCGTGTGTGTGTGTGTGTGTGTGTGTGCATGCATGTATATTCAATCTCAATCCTTGAGATTGAATTCAGAGCATGGCATATGCTAGGCAAGTACTCTATAACTGAGCTCACCACAGTCCATGTCTTTGTAATAATAACCATGCTAATGGAGTGAAGCGATATCTCATTATGATTTTGATATGCATTTCCCTGATACTTAGTGATGTTGAGGATTTTTTCTTATAACCATCAGCCATTTGTATACTTTTTCTTGGATGGAGAGTGTTCTGGGGATTGAACTCAGGACCTCATGCTTGCTAGGCAAGGCTCTGCCATTTGAGCCACCCCCCCCAATCTTCTTGCTTTTACTTTGTTTCTAGATAGGATCTCATGCTAAATATGTCCTGCCTGGCCTCAGACTGTGATCCCCCTACCCCTCTTGCTGAGTAGTTGGGATTACCAGGATTTACCACCATATCCAGCCCTTTATGTCTTGCTGAAAGACATACATTATTAAATCTATCATCCATTTCTTGTTTTATTTTCTTTTATTCATTATTCATTTGTGTTCCTTATGTATTTTGGATATTAATCCTTGTCTGATTTATTGTTTGTAAATATTGGAAATATTTTTCTCTCATTTCATAGGTTGTCTCCATGTTGTATTGATTGTTTTCTTAGTTGTATAGATTTTTAGTTTGATGTAGTCCCATTTATTTATTTTTGCTTCTGGAAAAGAAATCAAGAAAGTAATCTTATTTTCATTAAAAAAAAACAGTATTTATTTCAATGTCTTGAATCGTTTCTCCTTTTTTTCTAATAGTTTCATAAGTCTTATATTTAGATCTTTAATCCATCTTGAATTAATTTTTGAAACTGATGAGAGATAATGGTCAAAGGTTGGGCACAGTGGTGCATGCCTGTAATCCTAGCTACTCAAGAGGTGGAGATCAGGTAGGTCACAGTTTGAACTAAGCCCTGGCAAAAAGTTTGCAATAACCCATCTCAACAAAATAAGCCAGGCATGATGATGTATGTCTATAATTCCAGCTATGCTGGAGGCATAGGTAAGAGAATCTAAGAGAATCATGGTCTGAGGCTGACCCCAGGCAAAATGTGAAACCCTATCTGAAAACTAACGTAAAGCAAAAGACAGCCAGAGCATATAGCTCAAGTGAGAGAACGCTTGCCTAGCAAGTGAAAAGGCCCTGAATTCAAGCCCCAATATCACCGAAAGAGAGAGAGAGAGAGAGAGAGTGTGAGAGCAAGAGAGAGACAGAGAGAGCAAGAGAGACCGAGAGAGAGAGAGAGAGAGAGAGAGAGAGAGAGAGAGAGAGAGAAATCTAGCTTCATTCTTCTGAATAGGGATATCCAATTGTCCCAATACTACTTATTGTAAAGACTGTCTTTTGTCCAATGCATTGTCTTAGCACCTTTTTTTATGAGAATCGATTGACTGTAGAAGCACAAGTTTAATTCTTGGCTTTTTATTCTGTTTCATTGGTCTGTATGTCTTGTTGTTTTGTCACTACCTTGCTGCTTTGATTACTGCACCTTTGTAGTATATTTTAAAGTCAAGTAGCGTAACCCTTCCTTCTTTGTTCTTTTTCATCAAAATTGCTTTGCTACTTGGGAGGGGTGTGTGTATGTGTGTGTGTGTATTTTTAGAATTTTAGAAATTTTTCTAGTTCTTTAAAGAATGTCATTGGTATTTTGATAGAGAGTGCATTAAATATGTACATCTCCTTAGGTGATACAGACGTTTTAATAGCATTTATTTTCCCATTCTGTGAGCATGGAACTTTTTTCCTTTGTGTATGTATGTATGTGTGTGTATTTGTGTGAGTATCCTCACACACATACTGTGCTCCTCCGATCTCTACCTCTTGAATAGCTAGGATTACAGGCATGTGCCACTGTGCCCAGCCTTTGACCTCTATGTTTAAGTGTGTATTGTGTGCATGTGTATGTGTATTTGTGTGTTTGTGTGTGTGAATGTGTGTGTATGTGTGAGTGTGTTTATGTGCATGTGTGTGTATTTGTATGTGTTTGTGTGTGAGTGAATGTGTGTGTGTGTGAGTGTGTATTGTGTGTGTGCGTGTATTTGTGTGTGTGTGTGGTGTATGTTTATATGCATGTATTTGTGTATGTTTGTATGCATGTGTATATGTATGTATGTGTGTGCGTGTGCGTATTTTTGTGTAAATGTGTATGTGGGTGTGTGCTTTCAATTTCTTTCATTAATATTTTTACAGTTTTCATTATAGAGAACTTTCACTTCTTTGGTTAAATTTATTCCTATGTATTTTTGTAGCTATTGGAAATAGGATTGCTTTATTGATCTTTTTTCAGATGATTTGTTAATAATGTATAGCAATACTACTAAATTTTTTATGCTGATTTTGTACCATGCAACTTTTACAGAATTTGTTTATTAGTTCTAATATTTTCAATGGAGTCTTCGTTATTTTCTGAACTTAAGATCATGTCATCTGAAGAAGTAAAAATTTAACTTCTCCTTTTCTGATTTGGAAAATTGGAAAATTTTCCTGATTGGTCTAATTCCTTTAATTGTTATTCCTACCCCTAGACTTTCAGTCTTTTATTTATTTCTCTACCCTGAAGATGAACTCTTGTCTCTAAGTCACAAATCTAGTTATAACATGCTCCTGGTTAATAGCTTTCAGTATTTTTTTTTTTGAGTCTTTGCACAAATGTTCCCTTGTCAATGAGACCAACTAAATAACCTTATTTTAGGTTGCATCTCTACTGCTCTTTTTCAGGTGATATTACCAATCCTCATTTCTTTGTTCCATTTTATGGTACTTATTTCCTCTTGTTAAACTATATAATTTACTTATGATTCTCATCTATGTTCTGTCTTTCTGTATGAAATTGTAAGTTTATAAAAGGAGATAATAAGCAAATACAAGTAATATAAAAAACAAGTCACAATAAGGGGAGTTCACTAACAGAAGAGGGAGCTAAAGGGAGGAAGTTAAGAAGGTGAATATGACTGATATCTTTCTATACTTTCTATACAAAAATGAATAAATTTTTAAACCTGTTGAAATCATCATAAGAATGGGACTAAGGTAGAAAGGAGAAAAATAGAGGGCATGTACCAATTCAGGTTATAATACATATACACATGGAAATGTCACAGTGAAACTCCCTATAAAGCTATCATAAACAAACAAAAATGTGTTTGTTCAAAAATAAAGAACAGGAAGGAAAACGGGTCCTATCCAGTGGTTGGTACTAGTGGAAGGTGGGAGGATGTAAGGAAAGGGTGAAGGAGGTGAATATGGTGGACATATTATGTATGAAAATGGGAAAACGAGACCTGTTAAAACTATTCCAGGAGAGGGATACAAAGGACAAGAATGGAGGGGGTGAATTAGACTGATACTTTGTAAGAACTTTTATAAATGTCACAATGTACCTCAAGTACAATGACAATATGGTAATTTTAAAAGGAGGAGATACTTTTTATCTGTTCAATTTTCTTGAATGTTCCAAGTGCTTACAATGGGAAGTAGGTGCTTAGCAAATGAATTTGAAACAATGAGCCCTGATTGAACTATATTGCAATTTTCTTCCTTGTCTACCTGTAAATCATGAACTTTTGAAAGCAAGGATGCTTATTGTTGTTTCTATTCACAACATCTTAACACATTTCCTGCAAATGGTGGATTCATAATAAATTTTTGCTAAGTGTAAACAAAAATCTCTCACTTCACCACCCCATAGCTTTGTAGGGTGTAAAATTGCACCATGCAAAGTTAGAATACAAATGCAAGCTTTATTATAAACTATCCCAGTATCCAAGATCTCCAAAAATGAAGAGTCTAACATGGATCAATATGGTAAGTATCTGTTGTACAGAGTTTCTTCAAAGGTTAATAAGTCACCATTGTCTTCTTGATCTTTTTCACCTTCTGTCCCTATGTTGAGAACATTTATTTTAATGAATCAGAAAAATAAAAGGAAGCCTGAGAATATAGAGCTTGGATGATAAAACCTTGCCATCTATGACTTTTCTTTTTCTTTCCTTTCTCAGAGCTCTTCCTTCCATGATGCAGTGGGTCCGCACACAGAAGCCTGGAGAAAGTGGCATCAATATTGTGACCGCTGATTTTGTAGAACTTGGTGATTTTATCAGCACTGTCATAAAGCTCAACTATGTCTTTGATGAAGGAGAAGCAAACACTTGATAATGTTATTTGGAGTATTCATGAATAAGATAGAGACGATTCATTGTATTATGCATATTATCTACAAACATTCTGATCTTCCCGTTCCACTGAGTCTCTGATGGGATTAGGGCTGGTAGTGGGTGGGAAAAAGGGGGAAATCATTTCTTCAGTGATTATAATCATACTCTGCATTACTATAAATATTTCATTTCCTATTTGATGAGCAAAATCTACTTCTAGTGTTAGGAATAAAAAGAACAGTGAATTTGTTTTTCAAAATTAGTCTTTGTAACGTATAACTCATGAGTGTTTACTTGATTGCATTTTCTAATTTTGACCTAGGGCTCCTATATGGTCTATCCCCTCCAACCTTCCCACTCTCTCACTTGTTCCTCCTAATCAGATGCTGTATTGGTCTAAAACAATTGAATGCCCAACATAATGTGTATTACATTGTTGTGCTAAAATTCATTTGTTTTGTGGGACTTGATATAATATTCTGTAGTCATGTGCAATTGGGCAATCATAGCTAGCTTTTTGTCATAAAAATATGCATCAAATCAACTTCCCTGTGTCAGTAACAAGGGAGATCATAATCATTGATTTTGTTTATATGAAAACAGTAGTGTCTTATAGTATTTCTGTGTAAGGCAGCTATCACTATAGCTTAGAATCTCTTTTGGGAAGGACTATGAGTGCCAATTCCATAATGAAAGTGAAGAGTGCAGTGTGGGGTAGATGGATGACATTTTAATTCAGCAAACTCTTAAACAATCATGACCTGTAAATGTCCAGTAAATACTAAGTTATAACAAGTGTGTCAAAATTTTTTAAAAACACTTAGAACACTCTCAAAAGCCTCTTAATGATTTTTTTTAAAAAATGGGGAAGAAAAAACAAATAAATGATAGACCTTGCAAACTTTCCTACCAAATTTGAATTTCCAAATACATAGTTCTAAATTCCAGATCTTGAGGAATATTTTTTAAGAACCTTCAGTTCTTGAAGGGAATTGAAGGGAGGAAAGAGGAAGGGAAGTAGCAGGAGTTATAGCAATGTTTTTGAAGCTGTGTCAATGAAATCACAAGGATCCATAAAATTCTAGAAAATTTTTGAAGTATGTGTGATCTTGGCAGATTTACTTAATGTTGGCACCAGCTCATCACTTCTGGTTTCCATCCTCCTCCAGAGTTAAGATTAAGGCAGAGGGACAGAAGTGTCACACAAAGTTTCTGTGGTCTAACTTTTGATAATCCAATCCAGAGGGAAAAAAACAGTAACATAATTCTGAGTATTGCATCTTCCTTATTGTCTTTATAATACTTGATAACCCCAAACAATTTTAAAAAGAGCACAATACCCCTCTGCATGTGCATCACAAGAATGCTGTGAAGCATTTGTAACAATCCATAAAATTTGCTGATATTCTTAAAATTACAAGCTATTTATCTCCATATTTAGAAATAACCATACCACTGTAGTTTTCTGGGACAATGCAGCTCCCTGCAAATTGGGTCCATATAGAAATAAAATCATGCCTTCAGCTTTTAATTAATTTAAATAGAGGACATATGACTTAATATTTTAGTCTAGATAAGGGAATTGATTTCAAGATTATAAAAAATTAAAGAGTTCATTATCAGTAAGTCATACTTAATAGCAACTGCAGAAGCTGGAGGTGTGGCTCAACTGGTAAAGAGTGCCTGCCTAGCAAGCACAAATCCCTGAGATCAAACCCTAATACCACCAAAAAAAAATAGCAACTTCAGAGAGAATAGAAATTTTTATACTGAACAGAGTGTTCATGAAAAAATGTAGTACCTTTGTAGACCAAACACTAGACTGCATATGCACACAATAGATATGTTTCTACACTCCAGTTGTATTTGCTATACATACCAGTAGATACCCACTCCTGTGCAGGCAGATAGATGCAAATGTAAACTAGCACACAGATTATAGACAGGCACCATGCAATTCTTTTGAAATAAAAACATTATATAACATTAAATAATTTAATTTTAAGATAAAGGTCCTTAGCTATGTATGAAAATGAGTGATAAAATATTTTTAAATAGAGTAACTTATCACATTAAAATATTTTTGTAACAATATTATAGGTTAGTCCTGTGTTTAATCCTTGGCACTATAGGAAAAATAAAGTTTAGGACACAAATATTTACAAAATAGAGTTCTTTTCACTTTCCTTTCCTTTGCAGTTTTATTGTCTTGCTAGATTTTTCACCTGTTTTTCATGTAAAACTGACTATGTATCCTTTTAAAGATTATTGATTGATAATTGACATTTATTTTCCATAAATTTACTTTGGGGGCAGATTTTTTTCTCTCTGACTATTCATTATTGATCCTTCAGGAGGATCTCAATCACATGTGCAATGACATCAGATTTAACATAAATATGACAAAAAACAGGTCTTTCAACCTATTAATAAAAAATGAACACAGCATAGAGGTAACTGTTGTGTTTTCTTGGATTTAGATGCTTTCCTATAATGTTCACATAGAATTAACTTTGATATATTTGTCATTTGGATGCTGAAAAGAACAAATATGATACTAGACTATGCAGTTTCGTAACTTGGGAAAGCTTTTCATCACTTTTACTGATATGCACACAGAAATCTTGTTAGACAAAAGGTACTTTCAACCCAATGGTATGGTTTCTACATGGACATACAATATCTACATAGCAGGCACTGAGAGTAAATAGACTTGCCTTAATTTCTAAAGGACAGAGGTAGAAATAAACCATGAGAAAATCCACTAAAAGAGATTCCTTGGAAAAGGGAATGGTGAGAAGTTGCCTTTGATCATGTTCTGTTCATTGGCTCTCCCTGGAACACACTTAAGGAACAGGCTGTTGGTCTTACATCAAGAAATGGTGATATGCAATCAAAACTTAACCTAAGCCAATGCTCCTTAGTCTTAACTGGTCATTGTTTTTCCAAAGATCTAGGAGCACAAGGGCTACAAATAGGCCCCAAGATGGTAGTAGATACATCTTGGTGTATTTTTTGATTTACTTAAGACTTTTTGTTTTTCTTAAGAATTTCTGTGACAAGTCCTACAAAGCAAAACACAAAAGTAGAATCCAGCTTTTACTCAATCTACAGTAGGAAATCACGAGAGTGGGTAGAATGAGGTAAAATCAGCAACTGGCATTATTTTATGTTTACTTTCCTGTTAGTAGTTTTGAAGGACAAATATAGTAAATACTTCTCCTGCCATTATCCTTTATGCCTCCCACATCACTACATAGTTACATGAATGCAGAGAACGAGGGTGCATTCTTTAAAAGCCTTAGGATATTCTATATGATGACCTCATGCTCTCTTTCAGCCATACTGGGAAAACTCACGTTTTATGGAGCGCCACCTAATAGTGAATGTATTAGAGCATAAAGTGATCAGCATGATGCACCTGTATATGTACACACACACACCACACACACACACACACAAGTTGAAACTGCACCTCATCATCCAGTATGGTTCTGTTGAAATTTTAACTCCTAAAATCGGTATCTTCTATGTTAGTAGGCATAATCACAATCCAAATATTTAAATATTCAAGGTGAGAAAAAATCATGAAAAGTAAGACCATGAGAGATAGGAAATACCTGATAGAAACAGTCTATTTATATTATTCTTTATAGTTCACAAAGGACAACCTAAGGTGGTCTTGAACATAAATTTCAGATACAAACACAACTTCACTTACAGGTGTTTTAAGTTCTTTGAGGTTCTGACATATTTTTAGGCAGAATCACTCATTCAAGTTCAAACTTGCTAAGATTACAGGCTAGAAAACTGAAAGGCTCAGGAAATGCATGTTTTCATTAATTTTTAAGTTCTACACTTTTACAAATATTCAATGACACAATCTTCTAACCTTTGGTTGCTCAGTCAAACAGGAGCTCCATAGGTTATGTATTCATATTTTGAATTGCTAAGATACAATAATGCACAGTGTCCCTCAGGATACGCTAGACAAGATTTTTAAAGCATTTGATTTTACAAACACTCTAGTCTTATCAACTAGGTTTCAGTGATACCGTGGTGTAAATGTGTATTTGCCATAATTTATTGGTGGCTCCTGTGTTTAATACCTACAGTTTTAAATAATGCTCCAAATTGTTTTCCTGATGACAATGATAGAATTTGTAAAAGGTGTTGATTGAATCTGTTGAAAATTGTGTAATTTTTATTTCACTTGTGATACAATTTTGTAGTTAGTAGTTCTAAATGTATATTTGTAGAGTCAAAACTATGTGCTTGTCAGTGGTGAGTGTAAGTATATTGTATCTTCTAAAAATCAAACTTATCCTAAAGAAAAAGGGCACATTAAGACCAGCCTTAATTTATTGCCATATTTTGGTTTTTGTTGCTGCAAGTTGAATTTAAAATTTAAGCAGAAGTTATATTTTTATTAAATATGGCACTTAAAAAATCTTATAGTGGAGATGTTTTGAAACTTCTCTGAGCTTCCTCAAGCAAACTGTCCTACTTGTGGAATACCTATGCTTTTCAAGCTTATCAAATACCAATTAATTTACTAACTTCATCACCATAAAAATAAACAAAATTCACATTTATTTCCATCAGCTACCGAGTCAGAGCACCCTAAAGTTGCTTTTCCCTATATGGAACTTTGTAGTTATAAGTTAGTTTTATTTTGACATTAAGTTTTCCGTGAATATTTATTACTTCAGACCATTACTTTTGAAATTTGTGAAGTAAGATTAATTACCTTGGCTCTATGACAGTCATTGAAGCTCCATTAACATGAGATGGCTCCAACGTGATTCCCTTCTCAATAAACAAGTATGCAGCACTCACACTACTCCTGTCTGCCCTGCATGTGCTCTACCAGCATAAAACTCATGACGAATTCAAGGATCTACATAGGTGGGCATGCTTGAAGCAAACTCCCTGTAATCTTGGGCTTGGGATCTGGATATGGAATATTAATTAACCTTTGTGTTACCTTCATCCTCA